ACTCCGTTGTTCGATCAAATAAGAAATTAATTATTGTTTTTGAATAATAAATTGGTCAGTATTACACAAACAAAAAAATAAATACACAATTGGAAAATATATATTCAATTTAACACATTTCACGTATCGCAAACGGGATCCACTTAAATTTTTGTATTAATTTAACACAAAATGTATATGTTGGAAAGTAACACAAATATTATATAAAAAAATTAACACAAAAAAGGCAATAACATAATTTAAGCAAACTGTGGAATAGTTTTCAGTAAAATTAACATTTTTATACTTTTAAATTAATACGTATTTTATTCATTTATCTTACGTTTTGAACCACATTATTTTTATGTTATTTGGTTACTTACTCATAAATGTGTCATTTTGACACTAAGAAATGTTTTGAATATCAATTTAACACAAAATATTTAAATAACATAATAATATTATGTTAAATGAATGCTTAAAATTCAACACAAAATTTCAATGAGGAAATTAAATTTTAATAACTTAAATAGACCGTTTCTAAGATAAATATAAAATATTTTTAATCTGTACTGTACGCAAATAATAATTATACTAGTATTTCAAAAGTTTATACATCCACAAATCTATCATAAGTTCATCACAAGCATCAAATTTATTCGAAATATATTCTAAATCCTGGAAAGTTTAATATACTTCAATTAAGATTATTAAATTAAACCAAATTCAATTTGCTTATTATACAAAATTGCTCTTTCAATACATTTTAGAATATTCTTCGAAAGAAAATTAATTCTTGTTTTAAATACATATCTAATAATGAGTTTTTCTGAAATTTATAATAAATATATTTTAAGATTATTATAAATAAAATATTCTTTATTAAATGAGATAACTGTTGCTTAAAAAAAGAAGGTAAAATAAATAATCACTTTTATTGGCAATAGAATATTTTTCTGTGTGTAAACTGGTTAGTATTAAATTTCCGTAAGGGTAGGGAAATCAATTCGTATTAAGTACTTGCGACACGAACTGTTTTTCTTTACAATAAAAGTATATTGCGAAACCGGTCTCGGACGGGTTCGGTTTCCGACATCGAGAACATGCGAGAAAACTCTTCACAATTTACGATCATCGATCTGTCCGTCACGGGCAAACGAAAAGAACTCGATGTCGCGTGTCAGCAGAGCCGAAAAATTCTAATTCGATGAAATAATCGCTGCAGATTTCGATCGACCACTTAACCGCCAGAATCGCAACCCGCAATCAGCGCGAATATCAGCAACAGCGTTATCGCTTGCGCGTTAAAATTACAAGTTAAATTATCATGACTGGTCGAATCGAAGAGAGAAATATCATTGCTCCGATATTATATCCAAACAATACAACATCTAAAATTGGGACACAAGACATCTTTTAGATGTCTTATAATGATATCTTTTAAACGACTTATATTGTCGTCTTGTGTCCTAATTTTGGATTTTTATTGTGAGTGTATAGAAGTTTGAATATCCTCCATTATAGAAGTTTGAATATTGGCCAATATTAATCGCTGCCCAGTTTATTACTGAAAGACAGTAATTAATTACTTGTTGGAGTATGAAGAGTACTGTTGTTCAGTAATTTTAGTATTTCAATAAGTAATTAATTACTGAAATATTAAAAGTATTAATTTGACAACAAAAGTCCAAAATACTAAAAGTACAGAATGCAACAGTATTTTCAATACCTAAAATAAATAATAAATTAAATAGTTGCTATTTTTCTTTCTATCTTTCAGTATGAAATTGGTCAGAATTAAATTTCTGCAAAGATTTCGGTTTATTAATTGTCGCGAGAAACGCGTGGAAGAAAGGTAAACAGCTTATTCATGCTCTCTCCCTCTCTCTCTCTCTCTCTCTCTCTCTCTCTCTCACTCACTCACTCACTCACTCACTCTCTCATTCTCTCACACATACATACCCATACAGCGCACTTTATCTCAGGGATATTCTGGGAACGTTCTTAGGACGTAGGAAATCTTCGGGAATGTCTATACGACGTTTTTGGACATTTGTACCCTATGGATCACGCATACGCACGCTTCGTGCTGTCAACGTAAGGTTAGCATGAAAATGAACGTTTGTCGTAGTACCTTGTTGGCGTTATCTCTTATCACTTTTACACCGGATGCGAAAGCTGACGATTTCCGCTGACAAAATCGCTCGCGACGCTACGAGCTGTCATCTGAAGTTCAATAAGCAGAACCGACGATCAACCGCCGCACCCTACCGCGATGCAGCTTCACGGAATACTGAGGTCAATTCACTGAACTGCGGCGACCTCGGCCGGCAGGTGTGCCAATCGATCGCGGCGAAAAATCCCTAAGTCGAATTCGACGCGCGACGCCCAATCGGTGCGACGAAAATAAAAAGAGAAGGGTATTTTTACGATCGAATCAATCAGAAATCGATCGCGATGTACGTAGTAAATAAAGGCCGCGTTTAGCAGAATGTTTATTTTTCATCTGTTGGAAATTTCAGCTGAGATAGGATTGTTCCTTAAAAGTATAATTCAATCAGCACGAAGAAAACGACAATTCCAACAGTTGCAAAATAAACATTCTGCTAAACGCGATTAAAGATATTTATTTGTGGAAAATGTGTATTATTCGCGGTCGTGACATGACCAGCAGTGACACGATGCATTCCTTGTTGTGGCAGCATTGTCGAGCGCGCGAAAATGCAAATGAAGCAGATGACAGAATCGGAGTAAATAAAATCGGAGTAAGTGATAGAAGTTTAGAATTTAATACAAAGAGAAGAAGAGAAAGTCAGAAAGCATGCAAAAATGCATCTTTAGAATCGAAAAGGAAAGCAAAGAGAGTTCTTATGTTTCTGGAACAACGATAATTTCTCAATGAAAGTTTTGTGCTTAATTAACTCAATAATGTTTCAATAGACGTAGCCTATATTTCTTCCGGACGTGTTTTAAGAAGTAATATCGTGTAATTTGAATCATGCAATTTGTAATGTAACTCGCATTGTCTTTAGAAGCTCTTTACTCGATCCAGTTTACGTTTTTATTTTTATTTGTCTAAAGCCTTGTGTCCACGATGCTAGAAATCAGTCCGAGATCTCGGATGAAGAAGGAATTGACCAATAGCAATGGTCATGTGATTAAATTGTTCAAATGTGATTTGTTAATTTTTTCTCTGTCCGAGATCTCGGACTGATTTCTAGCATCGTGGACATCGGGCTTAACAGTAACTTTTCGAAGTTGGGAAGAAGATCGATCAATATAAATCGTTAATAATATAATGTCGTAATTAATGTAATAAATTATTCATTAATAATACGTAAATGTAATAATTAATATAATAAATCATTAAAAATAAATATAATAATTAAAAAGAGAAACACAGGGATTGATTTTAGGAAAATACTCGTCTCGTATCTTCGTAATGGATTCTTTTATTTCTATCAACGTAGAGATTAACTTTATCTTGGTTTAATTTACTCTTCATCTTTATCTAATTCTTAGAATTAAAACAAAAAAACAAAAACAAATTAAACCTAGATTAAAGTTAATCATATTAGTAAAAATGGGGATTAGAGTTACTTAGAGACTCCAATAATTAACTTAATCGGCGATTATTAATTTGACAGAGTTATTTAAAACCAAGATAAATGTACAATTCTATATTAAAATTTATTATTTGTAATTTAATCTTTTTTTTATATGTAATGCAACAAAAAATTAATTCCATCCATAATAACGAAATAGTACAGATATTGTTTATTTTCTACAATAGCAATACACAATTCAAAAAACAAAGTTTTCCAGAAAATGAGTTTAAATGTTTTGAATCATTAAAGTATTGTAATATTAATTTTGAAATGCAATTTTAATATAATAATTGATTATAGAGGAATATATATATAAATATATTATAAGTACGTTCTTTCTTATTTTCTTTATATCTCCAGCCTTTTTCTGTACGAAGTTTAAAATCACAATTTTAGAGTTATTGTGGCAGATGAACCATCATAATCATCAATTAAGTTAATCGAAGTTTATTGAAGTCACTCCTACGTGCAATTGGACGTCGTCAAACACAAATTGCACAAATCGCATCGCGCTACGAAGAAAAGATACCCCCCCTCCATGCTCTCTTCTAGAATATACAAAGTCGCATTCTTCCCAAAAATAATTTCCACGTCAAACGGGGTTTCACGTGTTAAAGGTGTAAAGGACTAACGAAAGAAAGGTGCGTCGAATTGCTTCTCTTCTCTTCTCTTCAGAAGTTCTTCTCCATTTGTCGGCATGCACAGGAATCATCGGAGAAGATCATCCGCGACGCGGATCAAGGATCATTTTACGAAGGTGGAGGGTATAGTGATAGCGACACAGTATATAATGAAACAATAAATAGTGCACCTGTCGGATGGTCGAGGCGCGAATAACGCTTGGCGCGGTGCGACCCGTGGAAACATCGCCGCCGTCGCCGTCGCCG